TTGGCAACTGTCTGAGAAAAACTCCTGTTGCAAAAATCCCAGAGAACAACTCCTTTTCCCTCAAGTAGTCCAGTGTGATGAAAATATATTTATTTGAAATCAAGCATGACTTTCTTGACAGAACTGTCTATTGATTCCTCTGCTTCTGTTTCCCTCTGCAGGTGTGTGAGCAGAAAGTGTGGAGAGTGGGGGCAATGCTGTGAACAAAAGTGGACGGTTTGAAATGTGTTACAAGGAAGCACTTAAAGGACAGAATTGCATGCAATGCCAATGAATGATACTCAGATCTAATGCCAGGTCCAGTAGCGGAAAAAAACATCATGACAGCAAGTGGACAATTCCATTCAGTTTATATGAAGAGTTTTTAGACAGTACTGTGTTTTGAAGTATTTAAACCATGGCTTATCAGTTAAAGTAACGTACGCTTCAGCTGTAGAGCTGGTTTTATGTATCTGTGTAACATGAAAATAAATATACTAGAGTCTCTCTTTGTATGCCTGGTCCATCCTCCAGTAAACTTTGTGCTTCTTGTATTTCTCCCCATGATTTCACATGAGTAGCAGAAGATGGAGATCCCCTGGGTGTTCAGCCAGCATCAATTTAAGGACACTGAGGACTTACTACAAATCACAGTACTGAAAAGAAAAACAAAACAAAAAGCATATTATTTCTACATTTTGTATTATTTGCTGGTATATATGCATGAAAATACAGCACTAAACCCAGTGGGGGTTTGTTGCATCCGAGTGCTCTACATGACTGCAGTTAAAAACTGGGCTGCATGGTTGTCAGACAGGAGAAGACCCCAGAACAAAGACTGATGCTTCCCAGGCTGTGTAACAGCCAGATCTGTTCTCCATCTCCATTTTTCTACAACTGTTTACCTCATTTTCTCTGCTGTCCATTATGGCACTTGCTAGGATTGTCTCCAGAGGTTTCTTGTTCCACAAACTAGTGATCTGTAACAAATTGTTGAGCTGTAGCATTTCCATATCAAATGCATATTATAGTAAGGAAAAATATGCTAATGAAACAGAATAATAAGCATGACTTTTTCTTTCTATAATAGACAGAAAAGGAATAATGGGAAAAGACAAGAAATCAAACAACCAGGAACTCCTGTAAGGATTAAAAGATAGGTTTAGAATTTGGTCCAACCTGATCCAATGATGGCAAGTGTCCTTCGGAGGGAGTTGAAGGACAAAAGATTTTGAAAACAAACTGCAGCAAGTTGCTCAATTTCGGCCTTGTAGATTTCTCTGCCTGGGAAAATAAATACTTTTGAGGTTGTTGGGGTAGATCACAAGCCATAAGGGCTCATGTTCCAAAAGACAGGGACCACCTTGAGCATGATTCAGAACTGGTTTCCCTGACTTGAAAAAAAGGATTTGCCATATGTCAAATAAGCACGGATCGTAACGTAAGATCCTCACCTGGGGAGTCAGGGATTGCTGGTTCTCTTCCATGTTTCTTACATCTCAAAATTTTGCCTAGGCAAATACACTGCTTTGGTCATACCCCAGACACAGAGGAGAGAGCTAAGTTCACCTGCCACCAGAAATGGAAGAATTCCTGTTGCTGTCTAGGCTTTCTGAAAACCTGAAAAGTCGCAGCTGTTGTTTTTAAGGCAAATTATCTTAAATCCACCTAATTTTTAAAGGAGGATTAATTTTAGGAGTATGGGAGCTGTTGGAATAATTTGCTTCCCGCTAAGATAGTTAATTCACAAATGAAAAACTGAAGCCTTTATTGCAAAAGCTCAAATAACTTTCTACTCATGCATCCTCAGCTTATGCTATGATGTGAAATGAAGCACAGTTCCTTCCCAGAGGAACAGGCTTCTGTTTGCTTTTTTGGTTAGAAGTAGGTTTTCCGAAAGACCCATAGACTCAGATGTCCACAACATTAAGACCTCCATCAGAGGAAATATGGATCCCTTTTATGGTCAAAGAAGGAATAGAAAATCAGTGCTAAAATCAATTTATCTGACCTATTTCAGTGATCTGCCTTAGGTGTTTTACAGGTATTTTTAATGTATATCTTCTACAGTTGAAAAACAAAGCTAGGCAGCCAGGTACAGGTCACCTTGAAATGCTGTATGCTCTTTGTTGCAGAGCAGATATGTTTGTCAGTCCCTTTCAATTTGTTTTGTTCCTTTAGAGCCCAACAGACTCCCTTAGAAATGACTCACCAGGAAAATCATGCTCCAAATGAGCAAAACAAATGGCTAACAACCAACTCACTGCAAAACACTAGAACAGCATCCTCGGGGGTTCACCTATCATTTTATTCACCGATCTGGGGCTGGTACCTCTGGAACACCTGGACCATGATCTCACAAGGCAGAGAAACTCAAACAAGGCTCTACCACTTAAAAGGTTCAAAGCATTTGTTTCTAATTTGCAGTTTTCTTTCCCTAGCTTCTACAGGAGCTTGTGGGAGCAGGAAAGATATCAGCCCTGCCACAGTGTGTTAAATCGCTGCCTAAACTCAATGGAAAGGCTCCAAAGGGAAGTATTTCATGCTGCTATTGACTGCAGTGCAGGTAGGTTGGGCTGCACTGAGCAGCTGCAGAAAAGACTGCAAGAGTCATGGTTTTGGGAAACAGAACTACCCAGCTTTTCCATGAGGAAAAGAGTAATGAAATAAAAGAGTAATGCAGGAACTTGGAGATACAGTTGTTGCTTATTTAACCATGCACACGCTGGAGTTCCTGTTAGTTGGCGTGGTGCTAGGGAAATATTACCTGCATAGGGTTTTTTGAATGTGAACAAACTGGGCTAATACCGCAAACATCAGCTTCCCCCAAGCCCTGAGCCAGTTTCCTCCCAGTTCAAGTTACCTGGTGGTGCAGGAAAATCCGACCACGGGAACAGCAACACATACAAATTTACATTATAGTAGCAACAACAGGACCTTCCACTGGGACTTAGATACATACAGCACTCAGTGGGGTAACAAGGAACCATTCCTCAGCTGCTTTGCATTAACCATCTTCCTCCCTGCTCTTAGCTTAAAACAATGCGAATCAGCTTGTGCTTCTGCATGCAACAAAGATGAACAGACAATTGACATTGGTCCAATTGCATTTAGTTTGCTTATGTACCTCAGCTTCAAGATGAGGGGCTAAAGCATTTGGAGCTTGCCCTCTCTGCCTGTAACAAGACGTAGCCCTAAGTTGGGTCTGACATGGCAGCCTAGCAATTCCCAGTAAACTTACTATGTTACTCCAAGAGGCAGCAATGACTGCCATACATGATTCAACCTCAGCACACTCCACTTTTTCACAGTGTCTCTTGCATTAACAGCAAGGAGCACTCAAATGATTGTTAGACTCAATCTGATTGCTTTAGGACTCATTTCTTCCCTTATCTCCCCTCTCATGAGGAACAGGTATATTGAAGAATCATCTCTCCCCCTCATCCACCCTGTCTTTTTGCTGCTAAGAAATTCCACCGAGGATTGAGTTTGTTCCCTGCAACTTCATCTGCCAGCTGTAGGACTTTCACACCATATTTGTATTCCAGTCCCGATTTCAATTACCTGGCTAACCTTTTCAATTTTCACAGAGAGTGAGAATCTGAAAACAGCAGGTCCTTTATTACAGCTCACACTGGCGGCGAATGTTTCACCCCCCTTTCCCTCCCCCATGTTTGCAGGAAAGCTCTGTCAAATTCAAACAAACTCATTGATCATAACTTGTCCATTTACTTATGCTTTGCTGACTGCTAAGTATTCTGGTCCCTTCTGCAGACCTCTTATCCGCCCTCCTTTTGGCTTGAACACTCTATGTTTTGTATCATTTCTAAAAGCCAAGGAGAAAGTCTTCAGTTTTCATCCTGATGCTTGACTCCAGTGGGAGTTCTCACTGTGGTCAAGTACTGGAGAAGGTAAAAGCCTTGTGCTTCGAGAAGGGCAATTTGCTGATCTTTGACAAGCAAAACATGATGGTAGCCAGTCCTTTTTCACATGTCTCAGAACATTTCCCAGTGGAGGCTCAGGGTATTGGAGGAGTTCCCTCAAACTGGGGGGGATGTCAGGCACTGGACACCACTCTGCTGATCCCAAACCACTGTTCTGACACTAAACTGTACTGGCCATGGCTGTCACATGCAAAAGAAATTATTTTCCTCCTCCCTTTTCCCTTTCTCAGTTCTGCAAGTCATACCCCTCCTCTTATCTCCTCTGTTATTTTGAGCTCTTGATACAGCAATCATTTCCATGTCTGTGCTCTGTCTGCCCCATCACTCAGCCACCCAGCTCCTAAAAATGTTTTATTTCAAAGTGAGGGGGGATTTAATGCAATAGATCTGTTTCTTAGCAGCACCTTCCCCCTTTTCTTACTCTTTTTATTTCTAGCCCATTATCGTTGTCCGTGTTCAACTCTAAATTAACTTAATTATAGGCAGATTTCATATCTCTCTAAACCAGAAGGGGCACTTCTAAAACATCCCTCCAGTCAATAGTAAATGAGGACCTTGTCCTATGCTAAGTAGGCTTTGGGAAAGGCAGCTCAGCTGTGTCTGTCTTGCTCCTTCCAGAGACCTCTCCCAGTTGCTCATAGCTCCTGCCTTTGCTCTGAGCTGCTTCTAAGTGAGCCATTTCACCTATCCATTTTGCAGCCTGTCAAAGTTCATCACAACCACTGAGCTCTACAAAAGACATCTGTATAAATTGCAAGGTGAATTCTTCCCTTATGCAGATGCCAAGGACGCTGCCATCTTTCCACCTCCTCTTGCCATATTCAGATAGGTACAAAGTGCCTAGGTTCAAAGTCTATGCCTATTTTAATCTGCCCTGGGTGCAAATCTAAGGTAAACCTAAGTCATATCACATCTGAACATTGGATGTACTCAGTCCAGGATGACCTCCTATTATTTACACGTTTGGCAGGATAAAGATCCCTCTTGGTTAATGCAACTTTTGTTCAAAATTCATAGACTGATGATAATGGAAATCCCTTCTGAATCATAACCACACAACTGGACTAGGTCCATGGCACCCCGTTATACCTCATCCTCTCCTTAGCCTATGATAACAGATTTCCTTTGGAAATCAGGAGCAGGAGCTATCTCTAGCAATTGATGGGTTTCTCACCTTCCAGTAGGTAAGGCTGCATTGTTATGGCTTACCATTCACAAAAGCACTCCACTGGCAGAGGGAATACCTTCTTCCTTCTGCAGGAGGTCAAGCAGCTATTACCCAGCCAGGCCACCTCTTCCTAAGTCCATCAAGTTTTGCATGGTGTCAGTGAGTCCTCACTGGTAGAAGCAGGATGATGCTCTGAGAACAATGAGCGGAGATCTGTATTCACATAATGAGGGAAGAGTTAGAGGTCAGCCACCAACAGAGCTGTGTTGAGGGCGTATGAAATACTACAAAGCCGTCTATGACACACAATGGAGGGTGAACTAAACATCCACCATATAAAAGTCAGGGAGGGTATTGTGCTAGTTATAAGAGGAATCAAAGAGCTTCATTCCTACCACTGGAAAAAGACATCTGTGATTTCTGGAAAGGAAGGAAAGCCTGGGTGATTCTTTATGCAGATGGTTCCTCTTTATTCAGATCTTCTTCCTAGGTGTTTGCTGCCCTGGAAAGTGGAACCACAGGTTAACTTGCATGTAGGGTTGGAGTTGATTAACTTGAAACTGGTAGCAGTGCACCTAGAGGACAAGTCTTCTGGGGTCTCTGGTGGCTGACCCACGCAGTTAGTGGGAGTGATACAAACTATACGCCTGTGACAAAACAGTACCACATGAACTGCAGCCAGGTCCTTGCCCTTAGCCCTAGACTTTCTCATGGATAGAGCCTCATTCAGAATGTAATTCACTCTGCCCCAAAATCTTCAGGGTCTTCCCTTTCTCGCTCATCACTCTGATGTGCAGGGGGAGACACCATAGGTAGGATATTTCCTCCCTGCTTTGTGAAGACATTTTCAGAATTACCTATCTCAAATGAAACCACGTTGTATTTATCAGCACTGCAGGAGTCTGTTCCTAAGGTCTGGTGTTAGGCCAGGAGGGCCTGAAGAAGGCAAGGAGCAAATATCTGCTCTGAAATCTGAACACAAGCCCTCTAAAAAGCATTTGCGCACGCCTTCCCCGGATTTACAGGCCAACAACAGCAGTCATCGCCCACTGGAGGTCAGTCTTGAGCCACAAAAACCTGCGTGGGGAGTGCAAAACTCTGATTTCCAGCAGCCGTGGACTCTTAGCCTGCATGTGTGGTGCCCAGGATACCCCAAGGAAGAACATGTTCCAGCTCCCTTGATGTTGCTTTATGATTTATAGAGTCTTCATGTTTTCATTTCTTTTTTCCCTTCTTAAAAATATCCAGTGGTCTGTTGCTGGATAAGCTCAGCAAGAGATGCATGTGCTGTTCAATCAGCACAGTTCAGGCTCACAGAAATCCAGGATGCTCCTCAGCTCCAAACCAACATGTGCAGTGGCACCACATAGCTGGTGAGTCAGGCTTGGCCTACTCATCCAAGGTGACCTAACAAATACTCTTATTTCTGGGCAATTATGAGTCTTTTGGTTTTGTTTCAGAGGGAAGTGGTATAATAATTATATACAGATAGCACCCTGTGAAGATCAGGATATTGAAGCACAACCAACACAAGTCCAGATATACCTAATTCAGATCCATATTCCTCGCCAGTGCCTATAATTAGGACTTTCTCCAAGGAAACCTAGTTAAAGAATCACTTCCTCGTACCCCTTCTGTGACACCCTCCAAGAAGGGCTCAAGAAGGATTTGATGAGAAACAAAACCCTTTAGCTAAACATTTTGATAAACCAGATTTTGTCCCCCCTCCAAAAAAAACAAAACACCCAACAATTGTATGCTTCTAGGATCCCACAGGTGTCAGTGCAAGCTCAGCTCTGGCGCTACCAAGTGAAGTCAGCTCTTGGTAACTCTTATGTCTATACACGAATAATGCATCTGTACTGGCTGGCAGAAAATGGAGATTGAAGTGCTCAGCCGGGACCTCCTCAGGTTGTTATTCCATGCATCAGTCTGTGGTCCATACACATTCACCAAAGCTCAAGACTGAAATAACATCCAGCATTGAACAAACCTGTTTGCCCCTTCTACAAGAAGCCTTAAGCATGCATTTCTTCTGCTTGGCTGTAGTAGTTAAAGAGACATTCCTTTTCTGTTCTTTTCCTTGCACAGCAATAGAAATATTGATCCCCACCCTGGCTTCTTTCCTGTGAATGATCAGTTACCCTTTGGTGTTAAACAAACTGAAATCATACATTCTAAACAACCAGAGAATCACAAGGGTCAAGGTACCTTCTGATCTCGTACCTCTTATTCCCATCTGTATTCCTGTATGCATGGCCTTGTGCACACCACATCTTTCCAGCAAGAGAAAGGCAGCCTCCATCTCTCTGTCCTTCTCTATTCATACTTGCCTCCTGCTTCAAAGAAGAGAAAAGTTGTTTCCGAAGTCAGACAGTTCTTAAGAGCGACTGGAGCAGATGAAATAAAAGAGACAGGGTAGGGACACTGCATAACTCAGTAATATTGGCTCTTCACAATTTGGAAACAAACCCACAGCATGTCCGTGGCACTGGAATCATTCCTTGGGTGATGGAATCTAACCAGCTGGGGACCTTGGCAGCCCACCAACCACACAGTCAGAAACCAGGCAAGCAATGGGTAGGAACAGAGGCAACAGTTGTCTTTGGCACAGCCCATCAGGCATCCTTGCAGCAGCCCTTGGGTGCTGCTATCTCACTGCATATTGGAAACTGTGCCGGGAGAGTAGGATGCACTGTTCTCAGTATGATCCACAGTGGCAAATTACGTACCAAGGAGCTTAGAACAAGGGGAGATTCACATCTTTTGTTTTGCATATTAATCAGCTTTGCATGTAGAGGTGAAACAAGGTTAGGGAGGAAAGGAACACAAGACTCTCTCATTTTATCCTCAGGATCCACCACTAGAGCTTTCGTCCTTCCTCTCACACATCATATGTTTTCATTTCTTGTTTGTTTTAGAGTGGCTTTTATTATTACACACACACACACACCCCAACCCTCCCCTCCTTGTTGCAATAGCTGTGCTATTTACTACAGCAGGAAATGTGACATGTCTTCACCTGGCTGCCTGGGAGCTTTGCAACTGATTGTCCATTACCACTTTCTTATGGAGTATTCATTTTCTTATTAATATTTTGTAACTTCACAGATGGGCCTGAACCATTTACCTCCATCAATAAATCACAGTAGCTAAAGCCCTGGTTTGCTGCCAGGCTGGACCAACTGTGGAGCTTAGTAAGTGTGTTGAAGACAAAAGGTTTGAAGCAGGGATATATTTAGCTGCCCATATTTAACACGGGGTTGGAAGGAAAGGGAGAATTTAGAAACTATCCAGGTAAAAAATAGCTGTGAGGAAGCAGGACAGCTGCTGGTGTCTGTGAGCAGGACCCAGCTTCATATGTCTTGGCTCATTTACTTCACTGATCTACCCAGCGCATTTCAGAGTCAAGATTTGCTCAGCCTTCCTACCCAGGACTGTCTGTCTCTCCCTCTATCATACCACAGCTGCCCTTGCCCTCCAGTGCTGCAGGCTGAGTCCTGCTCATGACCCAGTGACGAACTTCTGCTCTGGGCATAGCTGGATGAAGACATACCTTTGCTGAAATACCAAGGAATACTTTAGAAATGCTAAAACAAAAGGGCTTATGGATGTTGAAGGGGGGTTGTTAGTTTGAATCCGGCAGAAGCAGCATTTCGATCCATTTATCAAGCTGCCTGCAGCTCCCATTTCAAGGCTGATGAAGATATAATAAACAGTGAGCCAAAAAAAGGCCTTTGAAAGGTGTATCCAGAGCAGTTTAATAAATAAAAGGCAGCAGGGGAAAAAAGAAGGAAAATCATCAGTGCAAGTTTCGGCTTTCCTCTGCTGCTCATTTTATAGCATAAATTTAAATAAATGAATGAAGTGGGTTGGTGGAATAAGTCTTCCATTCTCAAATTCGTTCTCTAAAAAGTTCTGCCTGTGGAGTCAATTTTTCTCCCACAGCTCATGTCTTGCCAGCAACCCCCCAAACCGCTTTCCAAACTGCCCCTTTGAAATTTATAAGCATATCCATCAGACTCTGCAGACCCACAGGGCTTCTTTGAAAAAGTGCATGCATTCCCGATCAATGAAAACCCCAGCGCAATGAACTCCAATACAACTAAGCAGCTGGATGCCAGCTAGCTCAGGTGATCCCAAACATTATACTGCTCACTTCCCACTGCCCATACAAAGACCTTGGAATCTACACTAACCTTTTATCTTAATAGAGGAGACTGCTTCTGTACAGCAACTTGGAGGTCTCAGTCCAGTTTTAGCTAGTTGTTTCTTTGGGTATGTGGCAGCCTTTGCTCATATTGGGATTAAGTGCTGTTTGCCATGTTCTCTTTTCCATTTGCATTCCTGGATATCAGGCAAGCTGGAAGACTTCTCCAGTCCCTTGCTGGGTACTTTGTGCCCAGGGTATGGCAATGAAGTTATTCCATTTCTTTCCAGAGCGTTTTGGTCATCAAGACCTGATAGACATTCTGACTGGATGTCCAGGTGTGAGTTTTAACACCCTTCTTCCAGAAGCTGGCACATTACAGGAAATCTTCTTTGGGTTTGATTCTTTCTTCAGCTGAATTGGGTTAAGACTCACAAACTTCAGCAGATATCATTAAGATCCTGTTAGCAATACAGAAAACAAAGAGGGAGTCCTAGACAGAAGAAGACATTGGAAGATGGGAAGGAGTGAAAGAATCAGAAAGAAATGGGGAGAAAAAGACAAGCCCAGAGGAACAGAAAAGGAAGGACTGAAAAAAAGAAGAAAAATTAATCAAGAAGTGCAATGAGAATAAGACTGAAAGAAAAGATGAAGAATGAAAGGAGAGAGAAAAGATCCATAAATATATGTAAAGAAAGATCCACACTGGTATTCACTAATGCTTATCATGGTTTTGGCTGGGATAATTTTCTTCACAGTAACTAGCATGGGGATATTTCGGATTGTACCAAAACCAGTGCCAACAATGCAGAGTTGTTTCCATTACTGCTGAGCAGTGCTTACACAGAGCCAAAGCCTTTTCTGCTCCTCATCCCACCAGTGAACTGGGAGAGGACACAGTCATGACAGCTGACCCCAACCAACCCAAGGTATATTCCATATCATATGACAGTGTGTTCAGCATAACACTGGAGAAGAAGGAAGGGGGGGCTGTCAGAGTGATGACATTTGTCTTCCCATGCATGATGGATCCCTGCTTTCCTGGAGATGGCTCAATACCTGCCTGCAATGGGAAGTGGTGAATGAATTCCTTGTTTTGCTCTGCTTTGCTTGTGCACGCAGCTTTTGCTTTACCTATTAAACTATCTTTATCTCAACCCACAAGTTTTCGTACTTTCACCCTTCCAATTCTCTCCCCCATCCCACTACAGGAGAATGAGCAAGTGGCTGTGTGGGGCTTAGTTGTCATCTGGGGTTAAACCACAACACGCTTCACCAGATGGAAATGGTAGCAACAATAAATAGAACCTCTGAGCTCTAGAACAATAGGTGATATAATTCAAGCACCACTTTCAGATTAAAAAAACAGTGAAGGGAATTTGATTCCTTTCCCAGTTTTCTTTTTCTTCTATATAAATAGAAAATAACCTCAGCCATTTACATTCTGTGGCTTATCACCACAAAAATATAAATAAAAGCATGAAACCACCCTTCAGTGCAGACAGAGAATGAATCACAGGCCTCTGCTTTCTCATTGTTGCAGCTGGGTCCTGTCTTCACATTTATTCATTTTTAAATTTTCCCTCCCTCCTTGCACTCTAGAGACCATAACCCATCAAAAGTCGGGTTATCAAGTTAACTGTGAATAATTCATGAGATAATTATAAAACATTTACACCAGAACATTATTATCTTGCAACTAAAAAAAAAAAAAAAACCAAATATTTAATGTCCTCCAACATTGATGGCAAACCTCTTGGGACTGCAATGTTCCTTAAAGCTAAAATTAAATTGCATTAATCTTCAAAACTACTTTTGTGCTCACTGGCACAGAGTCACAGAAAACGCATGCTCAAATAACATGGAAGCACAAAAACACATACATATATATGTGTGTGTTTATGCACATAGATATATATAGGATTCAGACACATGCACACACAGGAGGCTCAGTTTCAGTCTTTCTCCCCCAACATACTCTGAGGCATAAGGGGCATAAGCTTTTATGCTCAAGGGATGGATTCAGTGTGTGCTGACGGGTTGTCATGATCCACACATGCAGGCACACTCATGCACTATCAGCACAGATATCGACCTAGACTGAAGAGGCGGAGCTGTGCATGTTGTGAGATGTTGTGACTCATGGAGACTGTCTCTCACAAATGCAAGCATAAGCAGAGAGGACAAGTACAGACCTGGAGCACTGTGCACCATACAGTAGGGACTGTGGTAAGGTACGAGGTTTTCCTTCTCATACCTTTCCACTGCAAAGGTTATATTTTCTCCTTTCATCTAGAAGAGGATTTTTGGTCAAATTCTGTGCCCAAAGTAAGCCTAGAGGTTTCTTTGAAATGAATATAATAATAAATTTCAGTTTTACACCGGTATCACCAGGATCAGGATTTGGCCTTGTATACACATCCAAAATTAAGACTGCCCGTATGTGCCTATAAAGGCTCCTGCAAAAGCATCACTGATAATGCAAATCTCTCGTGCGACTAGCACTAGGCCATTATGATATCTGCAGCCTGTAAAATAGCTCCTCTGTCACCTTCCATCTGGACGTGAAGCCAGAGGATTGTCTGGGAAAATTCTTAAGGCCATGCCTTCACTGTGTGATGGTGACCTCCAATCGCTACAGTCCCTAGTTGCTCCTGAGGGCTTTAAAAGGCATACACAGAAAAACCTCAAAAACTTCTTGCTTAGTTTACAAAAGCTGTCAGTTTGCTGCTAGAGACCCAGGTTTTTCAATGACTTCTCTCCCTCAGGAGCACAGGATAACAGAGCACCACTAAAACATAACTCCACTAGACAACTGTTTTTGTGAGCATGGACTGCCGTGCTCAGAGGAAACAGACAGCCAGAAAACCTTGGGCTGACATAGCCAACATCTAGCTACTATCCCCAAGGCAACCCAGGATAGAAAAAGAAATCCCCTCAGGGCAAATGCAGGCAAGAAAAATTCTTTCTTGCTCCTATTTCCCCGTTCCTCCCTCTTTGAATGCAGTTGGTTCACAAAGAAAACAGTCTGTGCTTTCTCACAAAAATGTTTGCACGCAGATCAATATGCTTAATGTTTTTCTGCACAGAAGGGCAGGGACTCCTCTTCCTCCCAGAAGAGGTCACAGTAGGCAATGCAACAGCTACATCTGCCTCGCAGCCAAGATCAAGGGCTGGAAGCACACTGTACATCCTTAACCTGTGAATGTGTC